GGGAGGGGGGAGAATAGGGGAACCCACGGCTGATATGTAGAACTGAATGGTATTGTAAAATTATATATAAAGCCATCAAGGCTTTATACATGCTTGGCAAGTTCTCTGACATGGACTGCTTTGCACCCATACCCATGTTTTTAACTGAAATACATCCGTGTCCACCCATGAACATTTGAAGATGTTAATACTTTTGGTACAGAGCTCCTTTAGATCAGGACCTGCTAGGATGAAGGGCTATTTCTGAACTGTTTCATATGGCTCTTAATATTATATTCAGTGGGCACATTGCATTTATTAGAAGGAGATATAAAACAATGCGATAATTACAGCACTTCTTAAATGAGATAATTACATCACTTCCTCAGTGAAATGTGCTTTGTTGTTGAAAGAGATCACAGGCATTGGAGAACTTATTCTCCTAATAAAATTTTTATTAAGTGGTGGGCTGTGTACACTAAGGTTGAAACCTCTCCCGAGCACACTTCAGTCTCTCATGGCCTCATGTAGGAAGTGTAGCTGTGGTGTTGAGAGTCAGCAGGCCCTTCTGAGTCCTGAATGAGGCCGGTAGGATGGGGACCCTGCACCAAGAGCTTCCGTTCAACCTGTTCGGCTCTCTCCCCAGGAGTATTTAGCCACCTTGGTTGTGTTGTGACTGTAAACACTGGCTGTCGCTCCGTGTCCAGGAGCTACAGGTCCTGCTTGGCACCTTGTGGATTGCCTGGCACACACAGGTCATGGCAGCGTTTGTTTTCCAGTTCAGGACTGCTTGATGACTTCTGTGTACATGAGTATATCAAGCCCTGGTGGCTGGCGGTGGAGTAGTCTCTGGTGGTCATTTTTGGTTTTACTCACGTGTCCTCTGAGGCTGCTGGAATATTTCATGAGATTCTCCTTGCTGTGACCTCTTTCACATTGCTTTAAAAAAAAAAAGTGAGTGGTTTTCTTGCATGTCTTTCACAAAGACCACAGGGCCTGGAGAATTCACAGAGGTGGGTAGAGACATACGTCTGTTTTACTTCCTTTTCTCATTGCTGCAGCAAGATACTTGGCCAATGCAACTTAAGGAAGAGTCGCTTATTCTGGCTTAGAGTTTGAGGGTCCAGTCCATCGTGGCCAGGATGGGTTAGTGGCAAATGCATGGGGTGGCTGGTCATATCGCACCCACCTTCAGGAAGCCCAGAGTGGTGCTTTCTCATTTTTATTGTCTGGGTCCCCAGGCTCATGGGATGGTACCACTTCCCATCACATGCCAGCTCCCATCTGTGTTGCCTACAGTCATTTCACTGTCGTGTTCTGTGCAGACCAAACAGAGCAAGTGGTTTTCAGCTTAGCTTGTCAGCCGACCCAGTCTAGAGACTCCCTCACAGGTACTCCCGGGGGTTTATGTCTCTGGTTATTCTAACTTCTGTGAAGGGGCTGGAGAGATGGCTCAGCATACGTCAAGGGGGCTTACTACTGTCTGTATGTAGCTCTAGTTCCAGGGGATCTTATACCTTCTTCTGTACACACACACACACACACACACACACACACACACACACACACACACACGCACGCACGCACCCTGTCGAGGTAACATCGTTAACCACCGCAATGTCCAAACTAAGGAATCATCCTTACCAGATGTATATACTTAAGCATGACGAGCAGAAAGAGGACCAGAGGTGGCAGATGGGGACCCGCCCTGCCAAATCTGCTGCTCAGCTGTGTTCACTTGGCTCCTGTTTTTCTTGTTTAAACATTCAAGTGGGTGGCCAAGCTGCACAAACTGGGGAAGTTTGGCTTGTCTTGCAAAATTGGAATGAGGGGCTGGAGAGATGGCTCGGTGGTTAAGAGCACTTGTTGCTCTTCCAGAGGACTTGGGTTTGAATCCCAGCATCCACATGTCAGCTCCCAACCATCTGTAACTCCAGTTGTAGGGAGCCCAACACCCTCTTCTGGCCTCTTTGGGCATCAGGCACACACACGTGGTGCGCAGGTATACATGCAGCCAAACACCCAGACACATAATCTAAAACAAACAAACAAACAAACAGAAAGAAAAAGAAAAACTGTGATGGTTTGGACAGGCAGGGACCCTTACTTTTACATCAGCAGCTGTCTGTGGGAGCCCAGAACTGCTACCTTCCAGAAGGGCCTAGACTTCCTGTGACTCTCCACCACCCCATCTCTCACCTCATGCATTCACTTAAGTTGCTTTCATGATCTGAGAGTGATTGTGATACTGAGAAAAATGGCAAAACGAACCATTAGGAAGAAGGCGACCTTTTACATGTAAGCCGCATAATTCCTCGGCAAAGAAGTGAGATCGGAAAGCAGCGGCCCATCATCTTCGTATGTGGAAGGACAGTGAAGCTTACTCCGCAGGATGTAGCAGTTAAAAAGAAGCTCTTTTCACAATTCTTTGTTCTCTCTCTCTCTCTCTCTCTCTCTCTCTCTCTCTCTCTCTCTCTCTCTCTCTCTCTCTGGTTTTTGTTTTTTTTTTTTTTTTTTTGAGGCAAAGTTTCTCTGTGTAACAGAGCCTGTCCTGGAACTTGCTCTGTAGAGCAGGCTGGCCTCAAACTCACAGAGATCTGCCTGCCTCTGCCTCCCGAGTGCTGGGATTAAAGACGTGCACCACCACTGCCTGGCTGCTGTGTCTTTTTGTTCTGGGCTGATGTGAGACACTGAGTGAAGTAGAAGGAAACTTGAAAACATTATTTTAATTTACTTTTTTTGTGCGTGTGCGTGTGGATGATGTGTGTTCATTTACAGTCAGTGCCCATGGCATGGTTCTCTTGTGGAGGTCAGAGGAAAACCTCGGATGGTGGTCCTTACCGTCCACCTTGTTTGAGACAGGGTCTCTTTGTAGTTGAGTGCTGTGTATTCCAGACTGGCTGGCTGGCCTGTGAGCTACTGGGATTCCTCCGTCTCTGCCCCGCAGCTCCCTATAGAACTGCTAGGACAGACAGATGGACACCTGGCTTTGATATGGGTCCTCGGGATTTGAACTCAGGTCCTCACATTTGCACGGCCAGTGCTTTATCCACTGAGCCATCTTCTTAGCTAGGAAAAAACTCTAAGCTAGCCACCTCCAATTCTTGCTTGCTTGGTTTCTTTTTCTTGTTCTGCCACCCCCTCCTCCTCCTCTTCCTCCAACCTCCTTATTCTATTGTTTTGTTTTTGCTTTTTAAGATAGGGTCTCATGTAGCCCAGGCTGGCCTTGAAGTTGACAAGTGGTCAATGTTAATCTTAAAGCCCTGGTCCTATTGTCTCCAACTCCCAAGTGCTACCATGCCTGGCTATCTTCCCTCCCTCCCTCCTCCCTCCTTCCTTTCATTGGAGATCCAACCCAAAGCCTCACACATTGGCTCTGCTACTTAGCACCCACATTATTTTTCTCATAGAACAGTCTAAGACTTATTTTTCTTGTAAGATACAGGGTTTTGCTATGTTGTAGAGGTTGGCCTCACACTCTTGATCCTCCTACCTCAGCTTCTTGAGTGCTAGGATTATAGGTGTGGGCCATGGCACCCAGCTCTAAAGATCAATTCTTAAATGCCTTATCTCTCTACCATGATCTCAGGGGTGTGTGCATCGTTATTTCTTGGGCTGCTTCTTGTTTGAACTTTGAGAAAAAGACACAGTACCTTCTTGGTAGCATTTTCTATGCATTTGAAATACAAAGGAAATTTCCATCTGAGATACCTTTGTGCAGTCTCAGATGACAGACTCTTTAACACTCCTTTTAATGCTTTGTTTTTTGTGGAAACTCTACCAGGAAACTGCCAATCATCCCACGGAATTCCCAGTCACCCGGGAACAGCTGAATCACTACCGGGATGCGGCTGAAAATGCTCAAAGTGAACTTGCAGCAACTTTGGTCAAATTCGAATGCGCTCAGTCTGAGGTGAGATGCTGTACACATTCACCACTCAGAAGTGAATTTTTAAAGCCTTTTATAGGGTGAAATGGGTTGCTGAGGGTTAGAAATAAGATAGTAAGCAAGGGATTTTGACCTATTGACAAAGTTTAGACTTACTTTCTTGTGTGCTTAGCACCTCTAACTCCATGCTGGCTTTTAGATTTTAGTGAAGTCTGTATAACCTGGGGACACCTGAGGACTTTGGGTTAAAGTTGCATGGGCCTTGAGGAACTTGAAGCCTCCTTCAGAATGTCTTCCTTTAATATGGATTGCTTGTATTCCAGAGCTCTTAGAAGGATTTCTGAATTCTCGTCATGTGGGAGTTCTGATTGGGCAAATTCCAAGATTGACTAGTGTAGCGGAGTTTTGGAGCCTCTCTGGAATCATTCTGCTCCAGAGCAGTGGCTGTGAGGGGTCTAGACTGGCCTGTGAGGTAACGAGCAGTGTGACTGAGGGTGCCAGGGACCAAATGAGAGATGAACTTGTAACATGTGTGTGACTCTGCATGCATGCACATTCTCAGTTCTGAAGAACCACATGTGTGTGAAGATGGTTCCGCAGAAGAGACCAGACGTTCTCGGTCAGTAGAATGAAAACACCCTCCAGCATTTTGATGCTTCAGAACCCACAGAAGTCCAAAAGTTCCCTTTGCATAATTTCCCTTTGTTGCCAGATTTCCCCCAAGAATCTGAATGTTATTTTTCTTTACCACCTACAATTATGGTCAAGAAGGCAAATGGGAGAAATACAGTGATATCCTGAACATCTGGATTTACTTGAGAGACAGTTGTGGCTTGGAGGTTCCCTGAATCATTGTAAATCAGTGCTAAATGCAGCAATACTGATAGAGTAAATGGGTTCCCACTGTGAAATATTTTATTGCTTTTTGTAATATCCACCACAAATATTTCTCGAGTAGCATGAAATCAACTTAAGATGTTGCTCAATTTTATTTTTGTCTGTGTGCTGGGTATTGAATTCAAGGTCTCTTGTAGCTAAAGTTTTCCTGCCTTGCCCACAGTCAGGACAAATCTTTGTCACCCGCCAGTCCCACAGCCGCTCAGACCCAACCAAGTAAACACAGAGACTTATATTGCTTACAAACTGTATGGCCGTGGCAGGCTTCTTGTTAACTGTTCTTATAGCTTAAATTAATCCATTTCCATAAATCTATACCTTGCCACGTGGCTGGTGGCTTACCAGCATCTTTACATGCTGCTGGTCATGGCGGCGGCTGCAGTGTCTCTCTCCTCAGCCTTCTGCTTCCCAGAATTCTCCTCTCTCCTTGTCCCACCTACTTCCTGCCTGGTCACTGGCCAACCAGTGTTTTATTTATTGACCAATCAGAGCAATTTGACATATAGACCGTCCCACAGCAGTCTCTCACGCACTATATAATTATTCTTCCACCAGGCTATCACACTAGCCTTCAACTGATTTTCGAAAAAGATAGACTATGACTATTAGTCAGGAATTTATTCAGCCATAATTTCTAATTTGGTAATGCAGACCCAAATTCAAGAAAGAGAAAGTGAAATTGGACTAGGTTATGAATAAAAAGGTGAAAATTTAAATTACAATTTTGGTTCTTTTGGTAGGCACTTCCAATGGCACATTGTTAAATCTCCCCCTCTCCTCCCCCGCCCCGGTCTCTTTACATTAGCTTCGAGAGCTCCGCTCCAAGATGCTTTCTAAAGAAGTTTGCTGTCAAGAGCTGAAGGCTGAAATGGAGAGCTACAAAGAAAACAGTGCCCGAAAATCATCTCTCCTCGTCTCTTTGAGGGGCAGAGTGCAGGACCTCCAAGAGGAACTGGCAGCTCTTTCTGCTTCTAAAATCCGAACAGAGGTCTCTGCTCACACCACGATGAAGGAGAATCAGGAACTAATGAAGAAAGTCCTAGAATTGGACGAAAAATTACAGTAAGAAAGTTGGAAATGTTTCCCCATTTGCTAGTGGCCATACTAGCTTTAGATCTCAGCCCATGTCTCGAGCGAACTTTGAAAGTTATACATTATTTTCCCTTGAAACTCAAACTGAAAAAAAAAAATTACAGACTTCAAATATCTTTGTAGTCTTGGAAACTTTGCTCGAGTTCAAACGTCATCAAGTATTTCAACAAACACAGCATTGTCTTAGGCATGCTTAGAACCTGTTGGTGAGACCTGCAAAAACTTATGGCATATATTAGATGTGAGAGTTTTCTTAAGTACAAGCTTAACTTTGGAGTGACAGGGAATCCCACAGGAGTATATTTAGAGGTTTGCTAAAAAAAATGCAAGGAAGCCAGACATCCCTAAATAGGTCTTATTGGCATTTTATACAGAGAACTCATGAAACTCAGGGTTGTTTTTTTTTGTTGTTTTTTTTTTTTACTTCATTCAATCAAGAGGTCACTATTAAAACAAAATTGGGAACTTCTGGCTTCCAAAATATATTTAAAAATTCTATGATGGCTTTATTTTATTTTATATTTTAAGACAAGAGTCTCTCCATGTAATTCTGTCTATCCTGGAATTATAGACCAGGCTAGCCTCAAACTCACAGAGATCTGCCTCTCGACCTCTCAAGTGTTGGGATTATATTAATATGTTTTGAGACATGGTGTTGCTATGTAGCATTGAACTTAAGATGGCTCTGCCTCTGCCTCCTGAGTGCTAGGATTACAGTCATGCCGTGCCATGACCAGCTTTAAATATCACTATTAATGAAGTAGTTGATACTATTTTTATGTATTCCATCTTAAAAAAATGAACCAGTGCCCCCAGCCCCTGTCCTTTTCCCCCTATAAACAAACTTTTTTTGTTTGTTTGTTTGTTTGCTTGACTTTAAACCAGTCTCTCTCTGTGTAGCCCAGGCTGGTGTTGAATTCATAATCCTCCTTCCTTTTCCTCTTGAGAACTTGGATTACAGGAGTTCTTACGTCTTTTTATGAAGCGGTATCTCCAGTTTATCTCTTTTCTCTGCTCCACTGAAATTCCTTGGTAATGATCACCAGTAATGGCACAGGGCTGCTGGCCTCTGCAGCATCAGTTATGGCTGATCTGTGAACCAATTTTCTCCCTCGGCTTCCAGAACATTACACACAACTGGTTTATCTCTTCCTTTTCTTTTTTTCTGTTTTTCTTCTTCCGCTTGACTTCCAAATATTGGGGTGCCTTTCTCCTTATTTCCATGTTATTTAATCTCCTGCCTTTTAAGTATGAGCTAGATTCGGGTGATACTACAGCAACTCTGTATCCAGCTTGAAACGCCTCTCACAAGACACACAAACCTGGGCATCTTCATGTGGACGCCCAGTAGACATTTCAACTTTATGCATCTGAAACTGGGATCCTGAGGTTCCCCCCATATCCTTCTGTACTTATTTGATTTGGTGATAATTTCATTCTTCTAGCCACCAGGTAAAACATCCCTGGTTCTCTTTTTCTTTAATATTCTTCTCTGTTTAGCAAATGCATTCACAACATCTTAAAAAGAAAACTAAATATGAACTATTTTGCATTTGTTACCCCAATCACACTATCATCTCTCACCTGGACTTATTGTAGCAAGAATATACTACTTGAAGACCCTACTCCTGGTACCAGTTTATTCTTTGAGTAATTTAGGGTATTGTTATAGTGTAAAAGAACATGTGGCTTAGCCAACAGAAATTTACTGCTCATAGTTCTGGAGGCTGGGAAGTTCAAGATTGAAGTGCTGACTGATTTATTTCCTGGTAAGGGCTCACTTCCTGTTTGAAGACAAATTTCTTTTTTTTTTTCTCCCCCATGGCAGAGAGAGAAAGAGAGATAGTCTCTTTCTTGTTTTCTTCCAAAAATATAATAATCTTATTCATAGGGATTCACATTCATGACCTAATAATTACCTCTTGGAAGCCTCAAGTATACATACTCTCTCAATGGAGGATTCAATGAGCAATTCAGCGTATGGGGACACAGAAATAACCAGTTCAAACGTGTTTTTCTTCTGTCAATGTGCAACCCCAGCCAGAATGATCCAGAATTTAAGCACACATTAGATCATGTCAGTCCTCAGCTAGGACTCCTCCAGTGACTTCTCTTCTTACTTAGGGTAAAGACCTTGTGTTTTTACAACCAAAAAGGCTCAGACTAACCTGCTCATGTCACTCTCCTCTCCCTTATCCCTTCTGTTCCAGACCACTGGCTTCTTTGCTGTTCCTTGAACTGACAGACGCGATCCTTCCTCAGGCCCTTCGCAACTGCTCATCCCGTTGTCGCCAAGGTCCTTCCGAAGATAGCGTGGTTATGTCTGATCTAGCCGCTCACTCGGAAGGACCTGGGCATCGAGTCCTTCCAAGAGTGCTATGTCTACAAACTTTTTACTCCCTTTTCTGTTTGATCGTTTCCCTCCAGTCTTTATATGACAATTACATGGATTAATATTCTGATAAGCTTCATGGAGCAAGGATTGTTATCTATCTTGCTCACTTCTGTGTGGGAGCCGACAGAGACTCCCTAGTAAGGCCTTACTCAAAGTCAGAAAGTCTGAGCTTGCTTTACCCAGCGGGGCTGCATAATGGGATCATTTGGCCAAGGGTGTGGTTACCGGGTGTTTGGAAGGGTCTACACTTGTTGGTACTTTGTACCTCCACCTTGAAAGGGGGAGGTCTTTTGCCCCTCCCCGTGGTGATATTTAAAAGGCCCATCATGAATAAAGTCTGGGTGACTGGGTATGGACCCAGGGCCCTCCCGACCCAGGGCCCTCCCAAAGCTATCCTGTGTCTCTGTCTTTTCTCTCCGTCTATGTCTATATTTCTGTATAATACTTCTTCACACCTCTCTCCTCGCACCAAGAACCCTTCGACAGGTCAAAGCTGGACCCCGACACTTCTGCATCTTTTGCACCCCTGATAGGATCCAGTGCATAGTTATGTTCATTAATTATCTCCTACATACATGTGTAATGCAAATGCCATATACTTATTGTAAAAACACCCTTTCAATACAGAAAATCTCAAGAAGAAATTAAAATTACTCAAAACCTTTGTTTATAGAAAATCTTATCAGCATTTTTGAATAGACTTTCCGATGATTTTGCTGAATTGCACTATGTAAGATAGTACTTTTTCTGACTACTACATTGTTGATGTTTTAAAAAGTCATTTGGTTTATCATCTTAATGGCATTTTATATTCCACTTCTAAAATAGCTTAATTGGGAGCTGGAGAGATAGCTCAGTAGATAAGAACACTTCCAACTCTTTCAGGGGAGCAGGTTTGGTTCCCAGCACCCACATGGCAGCTCACAATTGTCCATTTATAACTCCAGTTCCAGAGGATCCAGTGCCCTCTTCTGGTCTTAATGGGTACTAGGTAGAAATGTGATGCACATACATATAACTAGCTAAACACTCATGCCCATAAAATATAAATTAAAAAAAAAATCTTTAAAAGCTTAACTTACTTAAAACTAGTTCCTTGGCTCTTTCCTTTAAATACTTAGATTCGTTTCATTAAAAAGTTTACTATAAAACAATCTGAACAGGACATCTGCAGACACTCGTATTTTTACAGTTATGTGGATATTTCCTTAGGGTAGATTCTTGGGACTTTATTCGGTCAGTAAAGAAGCAGATAGCTATGGACATAATTTAGGGACCTTTGCAATAGAGCTGTGATGTTGAAATCTTGTGGTTAATGTGTAGGGTCACCTAGGCAGATCTATCAGAGCCATGGCAGGCATTGTGCTTTTTTTGTGAGTGCGGAAACTACAGATAGATCAACACTAGTCACTTATTAATGCACTTTCCTAAATGGAAATATGATATGCTTTTGAGTATGTGCAATTACATGCTTTGTTAATCTTTGAATAGAGTCAAAAATTTTGCAGTAAACACTTAACGTGGGAAAAAGAAAGCAATAATCATGATTATTGTCTAGAATACTGAAAAATGGTACTAAATTACTGAGATGATTCTAATTTGCCTTAAAAGTATGCCTGTTTTTTGATGATATCTCTCTGAACATTGAAAGCATTGGAAATGCACTGTGCTTTTTCAATAGACCTATTGGAGACCAAATACCTGACATTTCATTGACTTGTCAATTTCCATACATTGCCAATATGCTAAAGATTCTCTGTGTACCTGCTCATATTACTCGTTCCTGGTGCTTGAATATTTTCCTCTCCACAGGTGGAGTATCCCCTGCTTCAGATATTATCTTTGTATGTATGTATGTATGTATGTATATGTGTCCACCAGTTATACTTGGCTATGAACCTTATAGTGACATAATATCTAAAAAGAAAATGAAACTTGGCCTTGTAGCATCCATAAAGTGCCATTCTCCTCTTCGAGGGCACAGTAGAGGCCTCAGGGCTTGTGGATTGTGACCACACCCATGGTGGAGGGTCTGTGTATGAACTAAGTGCTTGCCTTTATGTCTGCAGATCAGTTGAAAACAGGGGGCAAAGACTCTTCCCCTCCTGGTATTAGATCTAGGTGCCATGGAGATTTTTATCTTCTGTAGACTGTAGGTGTGCTGAAGTTGCTTCAGCATTTCTCATTTCCTGCCAGAACTTAGCTGTCAATCATTTGTACTGGGTCATTACGACGTATTGAAAGTGGTAGTTATTCCCTATGGAGCGCTTTAGTTCCGACTTGGTTTGATGAATGTTATCTGCTATAGTGCTAACCCTTGATCTATTTGTTATTTCACTGATAGAAACTGTTCAAAGGAAAGTGAGGAGGCTAAGAAACAAGGCTCAGAGAATCTCCGGAGACATGAGGAATTGCGGACTCAGCTCCGCGACTGCTTGAGCCTAGACAAGAAGCACGAGGAAGAGTCTGATGAAGATTTCATTTTAAAGGTATTTGCACGCAGGTTTAAGGCACACTATACACCCAGGGTCACACTGACATGGGACAGGAAAGGACAGTGTGGTGGATGGGTCTAGAGTTGGCAGAAGACTGGACAGTAGCCCAAAGGGAGCATTAATTAATGGTGTAGACCAGGATAGACCACATCACCTCTATGAGCTTCCATTCTCGGTTCTTCACTAGCATTTTTTTTTTGAGATTAATTAGTGTCTAAAAGGGATTAATTATGTTGTCTAAAATGCATTTAGGTATTCAAATGCAATTAATTATCGAAATGATATGTTTGTGCATGAACTTTTTTCTTTTCGTTACAAACACACACCAACAAAATCAGACATATAAAACATTAATGTTTTAATTTTCATTGGTTTTTTAAAATGAATACATGTGGCATTAGACTTCACTATGCATCTTCAAATAAAATGTTTTTGTGGATTCTCCTCCTCCCTCTTGTTTTTCCCCCATGTTCCCATCCCATCTTGTATCCTTCAAAGACGGGGGAACAGGACCAGAGGACCCATGTGACACCAAGTGGAAAGACGTAGGCTACAGCTTGTACTTTCGTTACTGTCCCAGCTGCAGCCCTCTGTGTAGTGTGCTTAATAAAATATTTCCTGTAGTCTGAATTTCTCGGGTCCCCGCCCAGCCCCCCACGGTCCAGACAAATCTCTCTCACCCATGGTCCACAGTCTCTTATCTACGGTCCCACAGCTGGTCAGTCCCAATTAAATGCATAGAGGCTTATATTATTTTCAAACTGTATGGCCTATGTCTAAGAATTCTTGCTGGCTGTCTCTTCTAACTTAACCCATTTCTATTGATCTATAAGTTGCCACGTGGCCATGGCTTACCTAAGGTCTGCTGGCATTCCTCGGGCGGCAGGCTGGTGTCTCTCTCCTTCCTTTCTCTCTCCTTGGATTTCCCACCTGCCTCTAAGCTGCCTTGCCATAGGCCAAAGCAGCTTGTTTATTAACCAGTCATAGCAACACATATTCACAGATTACAGAAAGACATCCCACAGCAATTGCCCCCAACTCTGCCCCCCCCCCAAGGTGTCATTTTAGGCATATGTAGTGAGTAAAAAGCTAGACTTCATTCTAAAGTATTATTAACTTTTACATCAGAACTAATAAAATCTTATCCTTTGGCAGATTGCTATTAAAGGTGGAAACTGCTAATTCTGATGTAATGCTTGGCTTGGTACATAATGATTCATACAGGTGTCTGCTCATTCATAAACATCTTGTGTCCTTATATCCTGACAGATTCAGCCATTCCTAAAAGTCTCCTCCCAGCTGTCTACTAGTCAGCCCTACGGCGTCCCCTGCAAGCTGATTCATTTTGATTTAGCAACAGTCCACTGCATAGAGCGAGGGCTAGAGTGCCAGGGACCCTCATGTGTAGCTGGGGTTATCTCCTGGTCCTGCCTGGCCCACCGTCAGGACAAATCTCTCTCACCTGCCAGTCCTGCAGCCAAGTAAACACACACAGATGCTTATATTATTTAAACTGTTTGACCTAATGGCTCAGGCGTCTTGCTATCTAGTTCTTATATCTTAAATTAACCCATTTGTATTAATCTATACCTTACCATATGGCTCATGGCTTACCGGTACTTTACATCCTGTTCCTCATGGCAACGGCTGTCAGTGTCTCCTTGCCTCAGCCTTCTACTTCCCAGCATTCTCCTCCTCCTTGTCCCACCTACACTATCCTTCCTGCCTGACTACCGGACAATCAGCATTTTATTTATCAATCAATCATAGCAACATATATTTACAGCATACAGGACATCCCATAGCACTCGTGGGTGGTGAATGTTCCTACTCCTCCTAGTGAATATAGGACTAGGTGCTGGCTTGCATGAGTCCACTTTTTGGTGTGGTTTGGGGGACTTGTATGTTTCTTAAGCCAAGTGGTGGGCAGAGCAAAAGGGAACTTAAAATTTCTTTGGGAATCCCTTCCCTGTACTAGTGACAACCTAAGCGTATTTCAGTAGGATCTCTGTTAATCATGCCCCTTTATTTTCTGTATTCCCAATGCTTTGCCACTTGGCCCTTACCTACCAGGAGAGCCCATCCCCCCACACTCAGCCAGCTGGTGCCAATGGTAGGCGATTCCCTTGGATGGCCACTTTCACATGCAAACAAAACAGAGACCACTCCTCAGCCGCCTGCTGGATCTTACACCCTTGGTCACAGTCCTGTTGCGCTGCTCACCTCAGAACTAGATATCAGATGGCTCTGAGCAACCCCGGCCCCACCTCAAGTCCTGCAAGTATTCATTCCAGCCAGTTCTCAGCCTGGATCACTCTAGTTTCTCCCCACAGAAGCCATAAGGAAGCCGCTTGTCTGTATTTCCTTGTTCCTCTTCCTTCTCAGTGGCCCCAGGGATTCTCCAAGTACTGACCCTTGCAACAAAGACATGTATAATGAGTAATCTCTCCTTTTCCCAAACATTTTATTTTTGTGGTGTGTGTGTGTGTGTGTGTGTGTGTGTGTGTGTGTGTGTGTGTGTGTGTATGTGTGTATACACATGTGAGTACAGGTGTTCCTGGAGGCCATAGGTGTTGGATCCCTTAGAGATGGAGCCACAGGTGGTTGTGAACTGCCTGACATGCGTGCTAGGAACTGATTTGGGTCTGCAAGAGCAGTACACACTCGTAACCACTGTGCCACCTGTCCTGCCCTGAGTGGTCTCTTCAATCACAATTTCCTTGTAGGCCTTACCAAGCCTGAAATCGAGGGGACCTGTGTTTTAAAAACAGAGTACTCCAGCTGGAGCAGGTACTCTTTTTTTTTTTTTTTTTTTTTTTTTTTTTTTGGTTTTTTGAGACAGGGTTTCTCTGTGTAGCTTTGGTGCTTATCCTGGATCCTCGCTCTGTAGCCCAGGCTGGCCTCAAACTCACAGAGATCCACCTTCCTCTGCCTCCCGAGTGCTGGGATTAAAGGCGTTCACCACCACCGCCCGGCACAGGTACTCCTTTTTAAAGATCTCACTGTCAGACAGGAAATCTTGTACCTACTAAGCATCCCCATGAGAAGCAGAAGAAAATCCACACTATCACAGTCATTCCTTTCCTTTCACATGCCTGTGTAAACACATGGTAAAAAAGGGCGGGGGAGCATTCTTTAAAAAAAGATCTTAGTTTTGATTATGTGTATGTGTGTGTACGTCCATGTGGGGGTATGGGTATATGCTCTTGGAGATCAGAATAAGGCATCAGATGCAAGGAAGCTCCTAGTCCTACATTAACTTGGAGGAGTAGAAACATTCATCACCCATGAGGGTCCCTGGCACTTCAGTCACTCTGTATACTGGACTGTTGCTAAATCAAAATGAATCAGCTTGCAGAGGACGCTGTAGGGCTGACTAGTGGACAGCTGGGAGGAGACTTTTAAGAATGGCTGTATGAGTATCTGTCAGGAAGCAACTGGAGTTGTAGGTAGTTGTGAACTGCTTGATTTGGGTTCTGGGAACTGAACATGGGTCCTCTGGAAGATCAGTATATATTTTTAACTATTAGTTCATTTTTCCAATATCTCCCACATTTAGACATGGTCTTACTATGTCACCCTGGTTGGCCTGGAGCTCTCTGTGTAAACAAGATGGGCCTTGAACTCGAAGAGATCTACCTACCTCTGCCTCCTGTGTTCTGGGAGTTAAGATGTGTCACTACGCCTAGCCAGGAAGCAGTCTTCATAATTGATTTGATGTTCATGCATCCATTTTACCAATGTTTAATGAATGTATATTACATGTTGGGCACTGTTCTGGGGATGTGGCAGTGAATGCCACAAGGTTAATTCTACACCCTTGGGGAAACACCCAGCTTTCATTGTTATGGGGTGGGAGATGGTGCCACGGTGAATAACTGTGATGCCATCCTATCTGGTGAAGGGTTCTGTGAAGAAAATCACCTTGTGATGCAGGGTTAGGGAATGAAGGATGCCAGCGGTTTGGGAAGCTGGCTTAGGCAGACTGGGGCACTACCCCAGAGGTGGGGACTTAGATGGATGCTGAAAAGTGAGCATGGGAATGCGAGGAAGTGTGCAAGAGGGATGGACAGCATTGAGTTGTGACATGGTCCCAAGTGCAGGGGCTGAGAGATGGGCCACTTCCATGGGTGGTCCACACACAAAAGCTGACCATGCTATCTGGGCTCTCAAGTCCTGTTACGGGCACTGTTAATGGCCCTGGAGAGTGAGCTTATCTACGTGGCTAGTGTATTGGTGAAATTATTAAGGCCACTCCACATAGTTAAAAGGGAGGTTTATTTTGTGGGGTAACTTACAAGTGAAGGGATAGGTAACAGCGTCTGGGAAAGGTGTGGTACAGTCCGGCAGTGATCTCTGGAGAACTCTGCTCGGTTTAGCTCCAGCGTCCAGGGTCCAGGAACCAAGAGAGCCTGTGCATCTCAGCCCTGCCTTGTAGGTGTGACCATTACCAAAGCTTCAATGGGGGTTGGAACTTCCAGGTCAAAGCTGGAATGGCTACGCACTACACTAGTGAGTCTTACAAATGCTTCCAGTGCACATTTTTCAACACACAGCATGGAAAGCAAAAAGCCCTGTGGACACTAACCCCCAAGACAACCATTTTTAGCACGCTCCATAGGATGCTTACCATTATTTGGAAAGATATTCGTAAACACAACTGCTCTGTTTTCTCTGCGGCGCCCCCATGCCAGCACCTGGCACACAGTAGGTGCAAGTGGATGTGGGCTGAGGGCAGCTCTCTTGGTCAGTGACCTTTGCTGTCTTCTTAGCCTATTGTCTCGCCTCCAGCATACTTCATCCGGCACTCGCCAAAGCTTACTCACCTCCCACCGTCCTTGCCTTGTGGCCTCCTTTGAATGATTTTAATTTGATCACTGGGTCTGCAAATAGTGGCGTGTAGAGCCTGCCTTTGAAAATGTGACTGTTTGGATCTGTCTTTTTTATTGTTCTGTAAGATCACAACCTCATTAGGCTATAGATTGTGAATTGCTTGGAGAAAGTGGATGGAATTGTCTGTTTTTGTTTTTTTTGTGTTTCTTTTTAGCACAGCTGTAATTTTTTTTCTCTTCAGCTTAGAGAGCTGTGCAAGGAAAACACATTCCTGAAAGGACAAATCAGTACTCTTGAAGAGACTATAAATGTCCATGAGATGGAGGCAAAAGCTAACAGAGAAACGATCATGAGGCTGGCGGCGGAAGTCAGCAGGGAGCAGAAAAGAGCTGCCTCCTGGGCGCTGGAGAAAGACAAGCTGAATCAGGTACAGTGGGCTGAAGGTGCCTCTGTGCCGAGCTCACAGAGCAGAAATGCTGGAGCAGATGTCCTGAAATTATGGGCTACTGTTTCAAAGGGCTGCTCTCAGCAGGAGGGGCGGCCCATTGTGGGGCTAAGTGATCCAAGTAGCACATTTGATGTTTGAGATATACTTTTTATACATACTAGTTATATATTTCTAGTTGCAAAAAAGAAGTACAAAATGCTCTAAAGGATTTGTAGACAGGATGGCCTACTTTGATTAGATAATAAGGATGTTTTTCATATTCAAGTCTTAGACTTTGAACTAATAGGTAATGAGTTTAAAAGATGCAAAATTCTAGTTGCACAAAAGATATTAAATGTCAGCTCCTCCCTCTCTTCCCTTTTCTTAGGCACCCACTTCTCTGGGGAAACTTTTTGTAATTCCTTTTTTATTTAATTAATTGTGTGTGTGTGCCCTACACACGGGTGGAGGTCAGAGGTTGACAATGGGGTTAACAAAGGTGGTCTTTCTTTATATCTCTCCACCTTATTTTTTGAAACAGAGTTTCCCACCGAGCCAGGAGCTCACCAACTGGCCACACTGGATGGCTAGAGGGTTCTCAAAATCCTGACTTCACCTTTGGGATTATAGTGGTGTGCTCTCTCTCTTCTTCCGTCCTCTCTCTCCCTCCCTTTCCCCTCTTCATACTTGGCTTTTTGCACAGATATTGGGGATCCAAATGTAAATTCTCATGTTTATGTAGAAGCAATCTGAGCAATCCTAGCCTTTTTTTTCTTTGAAACACATTTAAATATATATATATATATATATATAAATATATATATACATATATATAAATACACACACACACACACACACACACATATATATATAACCTTCTGGAACTATTCAATGTACTTGTATATGTATAATACAATACACTACACACTGTTATCAACAAGACCATTATGAAGAATTGTATCAGTCGCTTTGCTGTTGTGATAGAATACTCAAACAAAGGCAATTTTGGGGAGAAAAGTTTCATGTTGGCTTACAGTTCCGGAGGGGATATGGTCCAGGATGGGAGAGAAACCATGGCAGCCGGAGTGAGAGGCCGCCTGGTGGTCAGGAAGACGACTGATCATATTTCATCCACACACAGGAAGCAGAAAGAGAGGAAACAGGAAGTAGGGTCAGCTATAAAATCCCACCTCAAATCCCACCCCCAGTGATATACTTCCTCCAGGAGGGCTCTGCCTCCTGCAGGTTCCAGAACCTCCCCAATAGCACCACCCACTGGGGACCAAGTGTTCAAACACATGAGCCTATGAGGGGCATTTCTCTTTTTTTTTTTTTTTTTTTTTTTGGTTTTTCGAGACAGGGTTTCTCTTGTAGCTTTGCGCCTTTCCTGGAGCTCACTTGGTAGCCCAGGCTGGCCTCGAACTCACAGAGATCCGCCTGGCTCTGCCTCCCGAGTGCTGGGATTAAAGGCGTGCGCCACCAACGCCCGGCGAGGGGCATTTCTCTTTTAAACCACAATAGTCCTATATATTTTTTCACATGTCATCTGTCATGTAAAATAAAATCCTAGAAGACTTGGCGGATCCAAGTACATGGATGCCGTAATTCTGAGAGGTGTCCACCAAAGGAATTGGCTCCTAATTATAAACTTTTGTTTACACAATGAATAGCTTGGTCTTTTCCAACTAGCTAGCCCTTGTTTGAGTGTGAGAATAAATACTGTATGTTTAACACTGTGTAATCTTTTAATTATGTTTTGAATTACGTGTTGAAGAAACTCATTATTGGATTAACACTAACCATTCACTTTCAAAAGCTAAAGCGAGTGTAGCCAATTAGGGAACATGCCATGACTCTAGTCATGGATTGGGACTTTCTGATTAGGTAGTAACTGGATGTCCCAGAGAGGCTCCACGAGGGAGGAAGGCCCAGTGGCCTCCAGGCTAAGAATGATGTGAGTTGGTGTGTGAAGGAGGCATCTTCCTTACACCTTCCTTATCTACAGCGACGTCACTGGGTCTGACAGTGATCCGCAGTAATAATGATGATTTCCAATTATTCCACAGTCACGATGGTCATTTCTCATTATTTCCAGCGCTCTTCGTGAACAAACCCCCTTACCTTTGGCTTTCCTTCCTCGGTACTTCAGCACTGGGGAACAGCAAAGACTGTCGTTTTCATCAGCTCCTTGTCTTGGACGGTTTGTGCTTCTAGAACAAAATGCCACAGGCTGGGCTGGGGATCCAGTGCAGTGAGAGCATGAGAGTCTCAATGTGCAAGCCTTGGGTTTGTTAGATTCCCAGGACCGTAAAAATATAGGAAATGACACTTAAAAAAATTCAGAGTGTATGGCTTATACAACAGTGAGTTGGAAATGCCAGGTCATGTGCTGGTGTGGCTGAATTCTAATGAGGTCCTCTCTCCCTCCCTCCCTCCCTCCCTCCCTCCCTCCCTCCCTCCCTCGATCTCTTGTTTTTCTTAAAGGACCCAGAATCCAGAACAAAGCGCTGACTACGAGGATGTTCAGCTGCTATAATTCTATAAAAAGCAGCGTCTTTTTCATTCTTTGACATTAACTTTTATTGTCTGGTTGTCTAACAGTTTTTCTCTTGATAGTCCAGATTCTCTGATCTTGGGCATCTGAAGCTCCTTGGAGATGGCCCTGTGCCCCTGCCCCGTGACACTTGTTTAACGGCTCCTTACTTTCAGGATAAAGGCAATATCCTAGGCTTACTTGAAATTTCCAGGTTCCCAGCCCCAACCCCTCAATTCCCCAGAGAACTGGCGGTTCTCCTTGTCAAGGAAACAAGGTGCTTTGAGACCATACTTAACCCTGCAGGCACGCTCACTTCCTGTACATTCACCGCCTCGCAGTGACAGTGCTCAGTGAGATTGTGTGATCTGTTCAAGTTCACACAGCGATCACGTGGCAAGCCTGGGGCCTGAACCCGTGTCGCCACAGTGCTCGGCCTCTGTCAATCATCATCCTCTTTGCACGGCGGCAGCCGCCGCCGCACCATCCTATATATAATTGTGCTGGCAGGGATTATTTATTAGCGGAAGAACAATAATAAACAGCTGTGCAATTTCCTTAGTGAGTATAAACTTTCGAAAAGTGTCTCTGGACGTTAGTAGGAAATGAGTGAGAAAGTGTGTCAGAGTGCTGCTACACGAAACAGGAAAACAGAACCCAACTCCTTTTCTTATATAAGTGTCTTTACTTGGGAGTGATTCTGGAAACTCAAGTACTTTGGCTCCAGGTTCCTGCCAGCATCATAAAAATTGTAAAATAAAAATATGGGCAATAAAAACCTGAGGTCTTTAATAAAGTGCTCATTCACAGAACTATTACTCTGATGATTTACTATCAAAAAATTCCAGCCAGTGCTTCTTACCGACACGTTAACAGCCTCGGAAAGTCTCCAGACTGCTTTCCAAAGCTCTGTTTTTGAGGTAGGAAACTTTATTAGGAAAGTCCAGATGTATGGAAGAGGCTGGAGTAGCCTAGCTTCACAGCTGGGGCGGGGGTTGTCTACAAAATTTGGCTTTATCACTTTGTTTAAAGACTGTATTAAGCACCAAGTGTGGTGGCGCACACTTTTAATCTCAGCATTCAGGAGGCAGAGGCAGGAGGATCTCTGTGAGTTAATGGTCAGTCTGGTCTACATAGTAAGACCCTGACTCCAAGAAAAAAAAATCCAGGTGATTTATCATGTGTAATAAATATATTCTTTGGAAATCTTTAGCAGTTATTTTGTGTGTTTGGGTACTGGGAACTGAAGTGAAGATATTATGCCCGTTAAGCACATGTACCCCTCAGCTGCACCAAAAATGTTGCAGTGTGTTTTAAAAGCTGTCAAAGCTTGGTACCTTTTATCTTTGTGATCTTAAAAAAAAAAATTCAGCTCTGTTCAAAGTAGCCACTTTGCCCATAAAAGCCACACACACCTTTCTTAGAGCCTAGAAGTTAAATACACATGTTCTACTTTAAATAGCCTCTTTTGTTAACACTGTTCATATTTCCTTGGTTAGAAAGAAGAAACTAGGGGATGGTACTGTTTTTGGATCCAGTTATACCTAGGTTTGGAATGATGACCCTTCGGTATTATTTTCTTCATTATGCTACATTCAAGGAGTACAGACAGCAGAGCCTAATATGGTGGGCAGAGGAGTTAAGAAGCAGGCTGGAGTAGCTCAAGTTAATGGTCTCCATCTCAAGATCTGGCATCCCCTATTAGAAAAGCCTCAGGGGACACCTAGGAGGGATTGTTTAGCCTCTAGGATGCTTCATGAGAGACTATGTTGATTAGGTTAATTGAGGTTGGGAAACCCACAGTAGAAATGGGTGGTACTATTCCCTAGGCTCAGGTCCTGGACTGTAAAAAGGAGAAAGTTAGCTGAGCATATTGTGTATGTAATGGGACCAGCTGCTTCATGCTTCCACTGTGTTGACTTCTCCAGCATGAGGGACCAACACCATTAAACCATGAGTGGAAAAAAAAAAAAAACCTCTCCTCTCGAGTTGCTTAGTCATTTTATTGTTGCTGTTGTTTTTGTTTTTGTTTTGTTTTTCCAGGCAGGGTTTCTTTATGTAGCCCTGGCTGTCATGGAACTCACTCTGTAGACCATGTTGGCCTTGAACTCAAAGAGATCCACCTGCCTCTGCCTCCCAAGTGCTGGAATCAAAGGTGGGCACCACCACCACCTGGCTATTGCTGGGACTTTGGTTGTGGCTCCAGAATCATTTGATTATGAAGTCCTTCCCAGGCATGCAACTTTACTTTTGGAACCTTTGGTTTCTTTGAAAATTATCCCTAAAATGGGAATATGATTTAAGGCTATATGTTATATGTATTTTTAGTATTAAGTTATAGGTAATAATCCCTTGATATCTGTGGGGGCTCCAATCCAGGATGCCCCATGGAGAGCAAAAAAAATAAAAATAAAAATAAAAAAATCTGTGGATGTTCAAGCCATTGTGTAAAGTACTATAGTTTAGT